CCTACAATTTTGGTCTGGTTACAATATACCTTGGCACACAAGTAGACTACACAAAGATGCATAAATTAGTGCATCAGTTTTTTGATTTCAATGAATGGTGTTGCCATTGTTACTAGAAATAGAAATGTCTGTGAAATTCCTTTAAAACGCTACTCCTTCTAAAGTTTTGGTCTGATGGCAATGGCTCCTTTTTACTCATCCTTTGTTATAAGTACAAACCAGTAGAGCTTCAGTCTCGACAGAGACTTCTGGTTCTAATCAAAATTTGTCTGTTGTAAGTCGTTGTTGTTGTTGTCGCTGTTGTCATCATAGACTTTTCACATTTTCATCTTCTTCTCAAAGTTTAACCAAACTTTCCACAAAGTAACCTTGGGTAAAGGGGATTCAAGTTTGTTAGGTCACCTGAGTAAACTCAGGTGACCTATTGCTATCTGTTTTCGTCCGTCGTCGTCCGTCGTCTGTCGTGCGTTAACATTTGAACATTTTCAGCTTCTTCTCTGAAACCACTGATCCAATTTCAACCAAATTTAACATATAGCATCTATGGGTGAAGGGGAACAAAAATTGTGAATTTCATGGTCCCTGCCCCCCTGGGGCCTGGGGGGTGGGGCCAAAACCACTAAAATTAGTGCAATCTTTAAAAATCTTCTTCTTTACTCCTGGACATCAAGCAGTCAAACTGTTAGCATGATTGTAATCAGCATTAAGTCCTCTACCAAAATTGTGAAATTCATGGCCCCAGGGTTAGGGGTTCTAGTGCTAGGGTGGGGCTAAATAGGTTATATAGTGGAAATGCATTATTTTTTGAAATTCTTCTTTTCTGCTCGGGGGCATTAAATAAACTAACCAAGTGCATAATTGAGTTGAAAATGACTGCCTTTTCCAAAATTTTGAATTTAAATACCCCAGGGTCATGGGTTCTAGTGCTAGGGCGGGGCCATATAGATTATTAATATAGTGAAATTGCAAAAATTCTTTGATATTCTTCTTTTCTGTTTGCGGGCATTAAATAAACTAATCAAGTGCATAGTTATGTTGAGTAAGGCTGCCTCTTCTAAAATTGTGAATCTAATGGCCCCAGGGTCAGGGGTTCTAGTGGCAGGGCGGGGCTATATAGATTATATAGTGAAAATGCATTATTTCTTTGATATTCTTCTTTTCTGCTCCTGGGCACTAAATAAACTAACCAAGTGCATAGTTATGGTGAATAAGGCTGCTTCTTCTTAAATTATGAAGTTTATGGCCCCAGGGTCAGGGGTTCCAGTGTTAGGGCGGGGTTCTATTGATTATATAGTGAAAATACATTATTTATTTGAAAATCTTGTTCTCTGCTCCTGGGTATAAAATAAACTAACTAAGTACATAGTTATGATGAGTAAGAGTGACTCTTCCACAATTGTGAATTTTATGGCCCCAGGGTCAGGGGTTCTGGTGTTAGGGCAGGGCTCTATTGTTTATATAGTGAAAATGCATAAACTCTTTAAAAATCTTCTTTTCTGCACCTGGGTATTAAACCAATGAACTATGTACATAGTTATGAGGAGGAAGGATGCCTCTTTGAGATTTGTGAATTTCAGGGCCCCTGGGGGTCAGGGCTTCTTGTGTTAGGGCAGGGCTCTAATGTTTATATAGTGAAAATGCATAAATTCTTTGAAAATCTTTTCCTTTGATCCTATGTATTATGGCAATGATCTTATATATATTTATGATGAAGAACGCTGCTTCTTCCAAAAATGCTTAATTTCCTGGCCCCTGGGACAGAGGTACTTGGGTGGGGGAGGGGGTCTGAAAATTATTTAATGCTTTGAAATCTGCACTTTGGTATTAATCAACAACATGGTGAAATAAAATTTATAAAATTTCCAAAATTTTGAAGATGTGGCCCCAGGGTCAGTGTTTCCTGTGGGATGGGGTGCACAACTGATAATGATAAAGTGGAAATGCATTTTCTCTTTGTTACTGTGATCTACATGTACCTCTGGGTATTAATAACCAAAGTAAGTATGCTGAGTGCATAATTATGATAAGCAATGGTGCCTCTTTCAAAATTGTGAATTTCATGGCTTCTAGATTAAAACATGAATCAAAATTCAATTGATGGAAAGTTGTTGCATGATACTCAGGTGACCTATAAGGCCCATGGGCCTCTTGTTTAAATGAAGGGCCACACCCTCTTCCAAGGGGAGAAAATTATGAATTAGCAAAAAATTAATGGCATCTTTTAAAAATCTTCTTTGAAGAACCACTGGGCCAGGAAAGATAAAACTCATGTGGAAGCATCCTCAGGTAGTGCAGAAACAAGTTTGTCCAATTGCAAATCATGACCCCCAGGGGTAGGGCAGGGCAGCAATGGCTGCATGAACAAAGTTTTACATAGTAATATATGGAAAATCTTTAAAAATCTTCTTCTCAAGAACAGCAAAGCCATGATTGGTGATATTTATATGGAAGCATCTGCAGGTGGTGTAGATTCAAGTTTGTACAAATCATGACTCCCAGGGATAGGGTGGGGCCATAATGACTGATCAAAGTTTTACATAGGATAGGGTATAAAATCTTTAAAAATCTTCTTCTCAAGAACAGCAAAGCCATGATTGGTGATACATGTATTTAAATTTGGAGCATCTTGCAGGTGGTGTAGATTCAAATTTGTACACATCATGACCCCCGGGGGATAGGGTGAGGTCGCATTATGGCTGATCAAAGTTTTACATAGGAATGTATAGGAAAAGTCTCAAAAACATCAAAGCCATGGTTAGTCATATTTATATTGAAATATCCTCAGGTGGTGTAGATTCAAGTTTGTTCAAATTATGACTCCCGTAGGTAGGGTGGAGCCACAATTGATGATGAAAATTTAGCATGGGAGTAGGAACAATCCTAAAAAATCTTCTTCTCAAGAACAACAGAACTATGATTGTTCATATTTATGTGAAAGCATCCACAGGTAGTGTAGATTCAAATTTGTTCAAATCATGACCCCCTGGGTAGGGCGTATATCACAATGGACGATCAAAGTTTAATATTGGAGTATACAATTTTCTTCTCAAGAACAGCAAAGTCATGGTTTGTCATATATATTTGGAAGCATCCTCACCTGCCTTTTAGGGGTGGCTTGGGACCACTCATGCATTTAAGCTTTTTAATACTAAACTGATTTTTTGCTTTTTTCCTAACCACAGTACTCATGTGAGCAATGTGACCCCTGGGCCTCTAGTCATTGTGTAAATCATCTGTTCACATTTTCTATTTTAAAAACTTTTCTGAAACCATTGAACCATTAACCAATTTTGGCTTATAGCATCTATAATGGTGAATGGGGAGTAAAAATTCTGTAATTGGTTGCCCCCCCCCCCCCCCCCCTTAGCTTGGGCCTATAATCTTCTTTACTATTGCATGAACATCAAACACTAAAACTGTCAATATGATCAATCTTCTTTACTATTTCATGGACATCAAACAGCAAAACTGTCAATATGATTGTAATCTTCCTAAATTGTAAAATTCATGGCCCCAAGGTCAGACTAGGTTCCAGTGCTAGGGCACCTGGGTATTAAGCAAACAAGCTAAATTCAATGGCCCCTGGGTCAGGGGCTAATTTTTGATGGAAGGACGGGGCCTTATAGATTATATATAGTGAAAATGCATTAATTCTTTGAAAATCTTCTCCTCTGCTCCTTGGGATTAAATGGATGAACTATATATGTACATAACTATGATGAGGATGGATGCCTCTTCCAAAATCATGAGTTTCATAGCCCTTGGTATTAGAGTGGGTCTAAATGATTATATAGTGAAAATTTGTTATTTCCTTGAAAATCTCCTCCTCTGCTCCTGGTTTGATAATTAAACAAATAAACGTGTATTTACTTAGTTATGATGAGAAAGAGTGCCTTTTCCAAAATAGTAAATTTCATGGCCTCTTGGTCAGGCATTTTGGTGTTAGGATTGGGACTCTGTTAATAATATACACAACGTAGAGAAAATGCTTCAATTTTTTGAAAATCTTTCATCTGCTCCTTGGCAATGATCTTAGATAATAATTTTGATGAACAAGGTTATAATTGCTTTTTGTAGAATTGTGAATTTCAGACCCCTAAGAGGTCAGGGATACTTTGGGTGTGAATTGCAATTGAATTACCAGTAATGTTTGAAATCTCTGGGTCTCTTTGGTATTAATCAAACATTTATTATCAGCAAGTGTGCTTTTTGTGATTGTGTGGCTCCAGGGTCAGGGGGTTCCTGCGGGGCAGGGACACTAGTACAAATGTATACTGATTATGTAGTGAAAGTGCATCAGTTACCATGACATATTAATTATTTATCCCTACATGTAAGAGATTTTTAGTTTTTTGCATTAAAGTTTAATTTTTCAGCTTAATTAAATTTCTGTCTTAGATAATTTAAATTTATTATGCCTCCCTTGGACGAAATGGAGGGCATATTGCTTTGCTGCTGTCTGTCAGTCGGTCCACTTAGTTTCCGTTCATTTTCTTCACAACCGTTGCAAATGAAATGAAATTTGGTATGCAGATATATCGGATGAATATCTAGGTCAAGATCTGTTTTTGGGTACGAATTTACACACCATTTTCGACAGAGTTATCCCCCTTGGACTTACAAAAATTCCAGTTATTTGCAGTTTCCGTTCATTTTCTTCGCAGAAGTTGCACATACTAAAATGAAATTTAGTATATAGATTTATCAGATGAATATCTAGGTGAAGGTCTGTTCTGGGTATGATCGCACCATTTTTGACAGAGTTATGCCCTAATCTGGACTTTGAAATATTTCAATTTGGGGGAGGGGGGCATAAGTGTTATACAAACATCTCTTGTTATCTTTTGAAATGACAAATGAAAACCGTAATGTTTTAAAGGGTATGAAAAATAAGAAACATATACATATGTTTATAGCAAAACAGAATTCTTAAATCATCATGCATATTATTGTTTATGAAGGCTATGATAATGATTGAGCAGCATTTATTTTTTAGTGATTGAGCCGACCAGTGTGAGCGCTATTGAGCAGCCGTCAACATCAGCATTACGCAGCACAGGAGGAAGTTTCGAAAATCAGGCCAAACTATACGTACCCCATCACTATGGCAACCAGACTGGACACAAAGGTTAACTGTGATGTCATGATCAGTTACCAAAAGAATGACTTGGATTTTACTCGTAAATTAGCAGGTAGGCAGATCCTCACTTAACTTTAATTAAAGAAAGTTCATATATGAAAAAATAAGCATTAATCTAAAGGCCAAATTTTATCAATATTGCATTAAACATAAACTACATTACTTTTGCAACCAACATCTGTTGTTCTGTTAGCTTAATAAGTATAGAGTTAAAGAAATGGATTGCAATGTATAAAGGTCACTGGAAGGTCACATATAATCTGTTAACATTATTTTTTTTATTTCAATTTTTATCTGTTTTAAAGCTCATCATTTTGTTGCAGAAAACAGAGCACAAACTCTACTTTAACATATATATTACCTGCTCAACATGTAGTATCAGCTACACTTTTAACTTAGAAATGTAGTCCTTATGGACTTCTAGGCCAAAATTCATGCAAAAACTGGTGGACAAAACTTGGACAAGATGCTGTTGGTCAGCTTTGAGGGTTTTTTTCCTTTTCAATGTCTAAGCTTGCATGTATTTAATATATAGAAATAAAAAATCTAAACTTGTATTTATATATGAATATGGCCTAAACCTGTACATAAAGTTGGGTATTTTTCTTCATTTTTATTACTGTTGTGTGAATATCTTGGTACAATTAGTTTTATGGACTTAACAGTATTAATTTATTAATATTTCAATTAGCATGGTAAGTTACTAAGTGCAAAGTCTTATTTTTCCAGAAAGAAAGCAATTTTAATTATATCAATTTTTATAGATACAGAAAGCACTCTATTGGTCAGAGAGAATCAGACCAAATGTGTTTATTACTGTGAACAGCTACGTATAGGTTACATCATAGAAGCCGAGTAGTATTGATTATATCATTTCCACGCCCCATGAAAAAGATATAACCAATAGTACAAGGCATATATGATGTAAGCAACTTGTCGCATGTCTGATGATATAAAGAACAAGGTATGGTTTCAATAATAATAATAATAATGCTTTATTTAAAGAAGGTAACCCGATTAGTACAAAGTACTATTCTTCCCCGGGGCCTTCTACAATTCAAACAATATACATAAAATGGTACAATCAAACATATATACACAGTACATGAACAATGATAAGCTCATTTTATATCTTCATAATCGGATGTATATATAATGTACAAATTAAACTAATGGAAATATAGGACAATAAATAAGTCAATATACAGAATTTAAAAGAAGTAGTAATAACAATAACAAGGACATCTATAATAATGAAAATTACAGACGTTGGCTGATTATAACTTTTTCCAAATTCTTTCTAAAAACAGGCAAAGATGGTGATAATTTAACATGTAATGGTAGATTATTCCATAAATGTACACCTGAATATTGTAAAGAGTTTGTAAATAAGATTGTTCGATGCTTTGGTAATCGAAGATTATAATTCAATTCTGAACGCAATGAGTAGGAATCGGAACTGTGAAAAATAAAAAGATCTTGGATATATTCTGGGCTCATACCACAAAAAGTTTTATATAATAAAATACATTTATAAAACTTAACTAACTCAAAAACATTTAACCATCCTAGTTTTTCAAACAAAGGCTTAGATGAATGGTCAGGTGCTGCATCAAGAATAATTCTAGCAGCACGTTTTTGAAGTTTATGAATTCTCTCGATGTTAGATTTGGACGTATTACCCCAGACTGTAAGACAATAGTTTATTGAAGGCAAAATGTATGCATTATAGAAGAGTTTTCTTGTACTTAATGGAAGAAATTTCTTAATTTTACGGAGCGTAAATAACTTGTATCTTAATGATTTACAAACTGTATCAACATGACAATTATACTGAAGAGATTGATCTATCTGAATACCTAGGAGTTTTTCAACTTCAACGTTTTCCAAGTTTTTGCCAGAAATTTTTGCATCAAGTACTGGGTTATTTAATCTTGATCTCTTTTGTTGGGTACACATAAGCATACATTTTGATTTGTCTGTGTTCAGTATCATCTGATTCTGTAAACACCAGTTTTCAATTTCACATAAATCAGAATTTAAATGTGTTTCAATAGTATGTACATTGCTGTTAGGTAAATGCAGAGTTGCATCGTCTGCAAACATATCAATATTAGAGTAATTTACACATAAAGGAAGATCATTTATATACAATAAAAATAGGAGTGGACCTAAAATGGATCCCTGTGGTACCCCTGCTGTGATAGGTAAGATATCGGAAGAACATGCGCCAATTTTAACACTTTGGGTCCTTTCGTTTAAATAGGACTGAAACCACTTAATTGCAAGTGAATCAAAATTATAATGGCGTAATTTCTCTATTAAGATATCATGACTGACTAAATCAAACGCCTTACTAAAATCTAGATAAGCTATGCCAATTAAATTCCCTCGATCCATTGCATGCAACCAGTTATCGGTAAGTTTGGTTAGTGCTGTTTGGCAAGAGTGGAATTCCCTAAAACCAGACTGTGAGCTCATAATGAGGTCAAAGGCTCTTGTAAATTCACGTACTTGATTTGCAATATGCTTTTCAAAAATTTTTGACAAAGTTGGTAAAATAGATATTGGGCGGTAGTTACTGGGATCACTGTTATCGCCCTTCTTATATATGGGGGTGACTTTAGCATGTTTCAGCTGGGAAGGAAAGATGCCATTAGTAATGCTAGTATTAATGAGATGGGTTAAGGGTTTAAAAATTACATTTGCAGAAAGTTTTAAGAGACGAGGACCAATGAAATCTACACCTGCTGATTTATTAATATCAAGTGAACGTAGCATAGTTAAGACATCGTCCTGACTTATAGGAAGTAGGCTAAACACATTTTCATCATTGAGTTTGGACTTCGTGAATTCTTTTAACTTTTGAGAATTAAAGCTATGGTTTTGTTTTTTAGGAAAAAAATTGCCAGAAATTCTTGTGAAGTGCTCATTAAAAACATTTACGATTCGTTGTAAATCATCAATTTCTGATCCATTCTCTTTAATAAGAGTGGGAGAAATATTTTTTGACTTAGAAGCTAAATGATTGAGATAGCTCCACATTTCTCTAGGATTAGAGCTCTCCTCAATTGCTGATTTGTAATAAGTACATTTTGCATTATTAATCAAAAGTGTAACTTTATTTCTCCAATGTCGAAAATTATCAAAGTCTTTTTGTTGATGATAGTAATCTCGTAACTGTCTAGCATCATTAATTTCTTGCGTTAACCATTTAGGGCGAGACTCGGTTTTTACACGTTTAGTTTTTACCTTAGCATGCTTATTGAGAATGGTATTAAACATGCTGTAGAAGTTTTCCAATATATCATTAGGATTTTGCAAATTTGTAAGAACATTAAAATTGGCACTTTGTAAATCGGAGAGAAAGTCTTCTTCATTAAAATTCTTAAAAAATACAAGCTTTGCCCTGTGATTTTCTTAAAAATGAAACTGAAGTAAAAGATGAAAACTTATGCTTTCTAAATCATTGAAATTCCGTGGAGAAATATCATACAAATAATTTTTCTCACATGTATTTATAAATGCTAATTGTGACGTCATAAACATGTGCATTTTCTCGCATTTTCTTAAAAAGTAGCAGAAGACAACAATTTTCAATGGAATTTTCTTTCAGATGATATTGTCCACAGGCATCGCCCACAAAGATTTCAAGATATGTGATTTTTTTATTGAATTTTGCACAACATATCCAAAATTGAAAGTGGGCGACGGCTGTGGACACTATTTTGTGAAGGAAAATTACCCTTGAAATGGATCATTTTGAGGCTTTTTCTGGGTAAAATAGAGAAATGCTTCAAATGAATGACGTCATATTTCCAGAATGGTACTCTTTTATGTCATATTCTTTTCTGGTCTATCATAGGCATTAACTCGATTACAGGTAATATTTAAGCAGTTTGAAAACTTTTAATTTTTAGGGCACGATAAAGCTAAAACCATACCTTCTTCTTTCATTGAGAGTGTCAAAATTCAATAAAAAAAATATATTCAGCGTGTCATGAACTTAAGATTCACTTCAAGATAGCTCTCCAACATGTCGGACGTTCTTAGTGAATTTGACTTTGAATGTTTAACTGAGTTTGAAGATTTTGACGATGTATCTTTGAGCCAGGTACTCGACAAATATGAAATCACAGAAACAAATATCAAGAAGTTTAATGATATAAAGTTTGGAGATTTTAACGTAACTTTCAAAATGGATTAATCTTTTGAATGACTGGGAATTTTCAACTGAGTTGTATTTTAATTTAGTAAAAGGCTAATTTAAGTAATAGCTAAATATGTTCATTTTTCTGTAGGAATATTTCTGTGAAATAAAATCAGTTTTTTTCTCATGACCTGATTTCTGCCTCCTGCATTGATATATGAAGGGGTGTGGAAAGTATTATTGCATATGTGATATGGGACATATCACCACAGAAAGATCAAAGAAAATCACCGCAGATATGTGACAAAAAATAATTATTTCCTTTTTAAAAATGTCTGGCACTTAAAGAGAAACTGGACTCCTGTGTTTGGTGTCTTAGTGGATGGGATGCCATTATTTGTGGCATTTTGAGTCAAATATGAACACCCTATCATATGTCATCAAAGTTAATTTTTCATAAAAATTAGGTCAAACATGAAGGTCAAGGGGTCATAAACCACAGCATGCTCAGAAACATCTTGTCACAAGTAATGCACAATTTTCAAATGTGAAAGCCCTATATCTTCTCAATCTAAAGTTATAAGGAAAAAAATAACAATTTTGAAAAGTAGGCCAAACTTCATGGTCTTCATGTATGATATGGAAACCCTATCTGTTCTCTTTGAAAAGTTATGACCAATTTAAAATGATATATGTGGATATGGTAAAATATTTGAATAGTTTGTCAAACTTCAAGTACAGGGTCACAGGGTCAAAAATCATAGCATAATGTATTTGGGAAATGTCTTGTCACAGGTAATATGCAATGTACATCTGAAATATGAAATCCCTATCTCTCTCAATCAAAAGCAATGACCAATGCAATGTTAAGGTTTTTTGTGACAAACATACAGATGATGAGATTTAATAAACCATCACTTTTGCAAAATCAGGGGACAATCAATTAAATTACAATATGTGTAGAAGTACTAAGTAGAAAACCCTAATTAAAAAGAATGTACTCCCTAACGGGATATAAAGAGCAATTTTGTCTTAGAGTTACATGTTAAATTTAGGTAGGTACCCTGTAACATTATTAGATATTTATTATACATACTCTTTATGCATTTGAGACCTTAAAGACAAATCCCCCCCCCTCCAAAAAAAAAAAAGAAGATAAAATTACTTGTTATTATTATTGTACACAAATTAATTTTTAGCAATTTTAAAGCTGTTTTATGTTCAAATGGAAAACTATGAACTAACTTTTGTACACCATAAGGGCTAAATCTGAAAACATTTTTGTATACGCTTGATAAAGTAATCATAGTAAAGCCCTCTTAAATTAGCAGAGGATTATCTCCCCTTTGTACTTTGTAGAAAAGTTTGAAGAGCAGGGATGGAAGGTTTGGTTTGCAGACCCTGATATGGAGCACCGTATGATGGTCAATCAAAAAGGAGAAGCCATCCTCTCATGCAAGGTATGAACGGAGTATATGATCACTATACCTACATGTATAATACGTCTTATGTTCACCATTATCGCATGGAATACTAGTACCAAAGGAAGGTTTCACAAAAAAAAAAATTACTTGACAAACTCCAATTTGTGGGTGTCTATAGGGTCTTAAAAAATATCATACACATTTATTAAGTTTGTCTTTATGTATGGATAATGCACTGTATCTCCAGAAAGGCTGGTGTCCTCTTTAAACACTTCAAAGTATACAACTTGAACAGGTCGAGACCACTAGATTTTCTGACGTCAGCATAAATTTGCATGTAAATTAGCTATCTGTTTACTTTACACACTGATGAATGAGTTACAATGCATTGTGGGCTACTACAAGTACTCATTTGTGTTGAGAATAAAGGGCAACTTGAATTGTCCCTTGGAAACTTATTTCCAACTTATAATTCTTTTTGGAGATTCATGAAAGAAATATTTAAAATGATGTAAATCTTTCATTTCTATGCTCACATTTACAAAATTTGCTTTATGAAGCAATATATCAACTTATAGTTAATTCATAAACCATTGTTCAAAGAAATGTACTTGTATAGGAGCTATTGTGTCATTAAAGAATTTAATTTTTTTCACGTGATTTACATGTACATAGTTTTAGACAGCAATACAAGGTGCGCAGTTATATTTAACCCCTCAATATTATCAAAATGTTTTCTAATTGTACATGCAAACGTCAAAGTATTTGCATGGTATACGACTGTTTGAAGCAATTACCAGGTATTAATAATCTAAATCAACTCCAATATAAAATGTGAGCATGGAGCAATGTCTTAGAATGTAATCTTTCAATTTTGGTCTTATAAAGTGATAAAGAAGCTCTACAGTTTTCCCGGTGATGAAGTAAATATTATGCTGTAAACCAACGAAAACCACGTGTTGCTATTGAATTGTAAACACGTAGTAGACAGTCATGCTTTGGGAATCATTCACTTGATTGGAGAATGGCTGTGACGAAGACATCGTCACATGTTAAAAATTGTCTTCCATATAAGGTAGTGGTCTCAACCTGTTGAAGGAGGGATTTCACTTAACAGCATACACAACTTTCCAGGAAATGTTTCAACTAAGATGATTTGTTTAATTTACCTTACTGGACGTGTCAGCAGGGGACACTTATTTTTTTGATTAGTTTATAACTTTATAGGCAGGTGTAAGTGTGGAAAGCTGATGGCCTTTGTATTGAGATAATTAATACTGTATGATGATATAGTATGAACTTGAAAAAAAAAAAAACTGTGAGAAACCGCACCTCTGATTAAAAGAGAAAACCCTTTCTGGGGTAAAGGACTATTATTTCTTTACTACATCAAAATAAAATGTCACAAGGTGTGCTTAAAGTACATGCAATTTAAGATTTCTTACAGAAAAATATTTTCATTTAAGCAAATGTTTATATGAATCAATAGAGGGATGATGAACTTTTTAAAAGTTAAATTTCTTATCTAAAATGAATTATTACTTTGTCTATCAAGTTAATGATCTCCTGGGATGTAGGTGTACATTATATATAGTCTTTGAGTTGGTAATTTTGTCTTTATATTAATTGTTTGTATGTAGGTGTTTGTCACTGTGATCACAGACACCTCGGCCAAAGATACCCAGTGTCAAGATGAGCTAGCGCTGGCCTATATTTCCAACTCCTCTGTATTCCCAGTCAGTCTCAAGAAATACAGAGAAATCGGCCCAATGCTTGATGGAGGAATGTAGGTAACATTCATAGAAACAACAAAAAAAGATTTTAAGCCTTAACCTAGCTGCATTGGAATTTACTCAGTTTCCCTCCATAGTTATTACAATTTAAGATGTTATAATTTGAAGTAACTTTTAAACCAAATAGTGCAAGCACTTGATGAATATATTGTACCAGTAATTCAATAGGTTTTTAAAATATGTGGTCATTTATTTGTCATATTTGTTACTGCTTTTCTTTAAAGAATCTTCTACTGGTTGGAAACCAGGAACATATTTAACTAATTCAACAGTTTTTCCAAGACAACAATTTTAATTGTTCCTCACATTTTGCATACCTATTTTTGTAGATAAAAAATTCTCTCTAAAACAAACTCTGTATCATAAGGGTAGAGGGCCCTGAATAGTCATTAATTTATAATAGGTTCCTTACTTGCTTTTGCAAGAAGCAGGCCCAGGATTAGTGATACATTTGTATTTCAAAGTATGCAAACATCTTAAAGCAGAGCAGATTAGAATTCAAATACAGTAATGGTACATAATTACGGGTTATACACATAATGGTACATAGACGTGGGGTTATTATGAAGGATAAAATTTCTATGAGGGAATATACATGTATTGGAAAATTGAAAGGGGGCACAACAAAACAGAAAACCATAAGCTAGTGATATTATTTTTGACAGGACACAACTGTACTTTAGCTTTGATTTCTATTGTATAAATGTTGTAACACGAATATATTTTGGCAAAATTAAAATTTTTTATTTGGCCCTTATTAGTAAAGCAGAAACATAATTACCTAGTGGAAGACCACTTAATATTTCAAAATAAGCAGTATTGTTAAGAATAGGAACCTTGTCCCATTGAGAAATACATGTCAGTGAGAATCTGCTAAATGCATACTTTTTCTGTAACAGGAAGTTAATGTTAGCAAAGATCAACTGGACCTTCTTTTTCAAAGAAGAATTATTTGTGCAGAATATGCCAGCTTTGTTGAGTTCCATAGGGAAGGTTATTGAAGAAAAGACAGAAGAAATCACAGCACCCGAGTCGTTTGATGATGGTAATGTAAAGGTTAAGATTAGTAACAATATTATAAAAGATACTATTTGGGTTTAATTTGCTATCAAATATTAGAGCCCTGAAATTGATAGTTTAATTTATATTATAAACATGTGAAAATCTGCACTACAAATAATTACAAATACGAAACATATAAAGTTCTCTGATAATGATCATATCATTTATATCTCTTCAGCATTATGATACACTCCACTCTAACAAGAGGGCAATAACTCTTCTTACATGTACATCTGAAAAAAAAATTATGGAGATAGAAATACACAGAATTAAAGAAAAATGGATTTTTGTTATTTAGCTTGAAAAATATATTGTGAAGTATACTTTATAACATATGACATTGCTTATTTAACAATTTAAAGTTTTAGAAATTTCTGCAATATGTTTCACATTTTCTTATCAAAGACAATTTGTCTGGAAGCTTTTGATTCCTTTCATACAGTACACATTAAAATTAATATTTAAATATTCAAAGGAAACCCTGGGTCTTTATTAACAAAACATCATAATAACAGCCCCATTTGCTGAACACTCATTTACACTGAGTTCTTAAAATTTGAAACCAATAAAACTTTCACTTTGGAAAAACTGATTGACTTGATTCAAATGTTTAGCTCTACAGGATAAACTGAATACAGTATGAAAGGAAATTAATTAGCTGCTAAACTTCGTAAAAAATCCACTAACCTGCTGCTGAGATCAAAGACTAGGTTGTTTGTGAAAATCTTGAACTGCATGAAACAAAACTACCCAGTTGACAGTTGTAGACAACAGAATTAACTCGTGCTTAATAATAAGTTTAATTTATCTCCCGTAAGGGAGCTGCTGTGATTCTTAAAAGATCAGATAGATTGGTACTGTATGATGATGAGCTAAAACTGTTGCAGCATTTCTTGAAATGAAATTTCATTTATATTAAGTTACCAAGGAAAAGGCAGCCTTGTATGATATTTCATCATTAATAATGCCAAACAAACTCAAATTTCATTCTTTTTAAAAAAATTAGACTTGGTCTGTTGAAAAACTTGCGGCAATGAAGAACAGTTTTTGCACATTTAATTGTTTTTCAAATTTGTTAATGAATTGGAAAACGAGACAGAAAAAAATTAATTTTATTAATTTCAGGTACAATCCAGTTCCATGGTATGAATATAAATGTCCATGACAAATTAAATGATGATTCAGAGGGAGAGGAGGATGAAGATGAAGGGGAGTCGTCAGCCAATAAATCGGAGCAAATCCAGACGTCAGACACTAGCATGCTGAGCTATGACTTCTGGGATAGATCCTTCGGGGAGAAGACTGAGGTAACCTGGGTGGAGTTTAAGAAGAAGTTTGAGGTTGAGTACAGGGAAAAGATTGTAAAGACATACACAGAGGAAGAGTGTAAGCTGTTTGTGAACTTGATCTACAAAGATATTTTTATGCTGAACAAAACCATGAAGAAGGCAACCTATGATCAGTTCTGTGAGGGAAACCCCTCTGCTGATCCCCACCGGTTTTACCATCGACTGGCTCAGTATGCCAAGGGATACCACGCCATGAGGGAAGTCTTCAATATGGATAGTACACTTAGACTCATCACCATACAGAAGCTAGGTATTGCATGCAATTTGTTTCTTTTGCTATTAAAGCTGAAAGAATAACAAAATAAATTATCATAAGATTAAGCTTTGACATACATTTATGTTACTGTGGTTTCAATAATATTAGTGGGCATCAATTTTCGTGGATTTAGTCAAATTCACAGTTTCAAGGATACATAAATTCATGGATAATGGTCCTAACAGAAAAAAATTGTCTATTACCTTTTCATATTTTCTTTCATCGTATGCTTTAGCGGGAATATCGTGCCATTAACAATGTTATGGGTACGTAGATATTTTTAAGAAAATTAGTAACAGGAGAAAACACTTTATTTTATTAAAAAACTTACCCTTGTTTATAGATCTTGGAACAAATACATTTACACTCGCTGGGTATGACTTATGTAAAATGAACAACAAATAATGGAGCTGTGAATGACAGAAGAACTTTCGCAGCATGCATACCCATTATTTCATGTTTAACAAAAGATATTTTTAGAAGCAAACTGATAAAATTCAAAAAAGCATGAAATTGTGTTGATAATTTGTGTGAAATTAGCCTGTTTTGAAAGAGAGTGATTAATTATTTTTATTGGGATTTTTATTTACAGTGTAATGATAATTTGTTGTTTTCACTGTACAGGTGATAATTGGGGTTGGACACTAAATTGTTTGATAAAAGAAAACAAATTTGACACATTTACGCATAATTATCATCCTTCAAGGGTAAACCGTTGATTGGTATATGCGCACATTGACAGATCTATGTTTTATTTGTTTATCTTTGTGCAAAATGTTAAAATTTTTTACTCAAAAAGTCCCTGATTCTGCAAATCATCAAACCTTGGTCCACGTGAAAGCGACTTTATTTAGGGAAATACGGCAAAGTCATGTTAATAAATTCATTTTTACATCACTGCAATCTCGGAATATGGTCTTCCTTCAACCATGTCATCCAGTAAACTGTTCCTTCTATATTTTATATCCACTTAAATACAAAAGAACGGTTTCCTTTACTTCCTTTATATTTTACCGACTGTTTACAGCCTTTATGGGGTCTCTGTTGGTGTATTTCCGATGTCGACACAGAATTTTATCACTGCTCTCTGCTCTACCTTTTCCAAAATTTCCCTTTTTCGAACAATGCCGATCCTGTCTCAGTAGATTCTAACCTCAATTTCTCAGCCATTTCTAATCTCTGAACATTCAAATTTTGCAGGTTTGACGTTAATACTTTTCTCAAAGTCATAAAGTAAAAGCAATTCAAATTTCTGTGGAGTTTTACAAAATGCAAATGAAATTTATAAAGTATGTGATAAATAACTTTTTAATTAAAACTTTGTCGTTATCCCAAGTCAAATAATAAAGGCATGATTGTAATTATATATTTGAAATTGAATGTAATTTTAAATTTTGTTATTCACATTTAGTAAAGGATTATAAATATGCTAAACATAAATATCAATGACATGATTTTTTTTTTAAATTTTAGCTTGTCCTCGAATTTTACGGATAACCCTTATATGTCTTTAATGTCCATCTGTTGAGAAAGAGGGGGTATTTAATATATTTTAACGAAAGTCAGAATGGGCTTTTTAGCTCACCTGAGCCAAGGGCTCAAGTGAGCTTTTCTGATCAAAATTTGTCCGTTGTCTGTCGTCGTCGTTGTCGTTGTCGTAAACTTTTCACATTTTCATCTTCTCAAGAACCACTGGGCCAATTTCAACCAAACTTGCTACAAAGTATCCTTGGGTAAAGGGAATTCAAGTTTGTTCAAATGAAGGGCAACGCCCTTTTCCAAGGGGAGATAACTATGAATTGGAGAAAAATTAATGGCATTTTTAAAAAATCTTCTTCTCAAGAACCACTGGGCCAGGAAAGATGAAACTCATGTGGAATCATCCTCAGGTAGTGTAGATTCAAATTTGTTCAAATCATGACCCTCGGGGCTAGGGTGGGGCCAAAATGGCCGACCAAAGTTTTACATAGGAGTATATAGGAAAAATCTCTAAACATCTTCTTCTCAAGAACCACTGGACCAGGAAAGATGAAACTAATTTGGAATCATTCTCAGGTAGTGTAGATTAAAGTTTGTTCAAATCATGACCCCGGGGCTAGGGTGGGGCCAAAATGGCCGACCAAAGTTTTACATAGGAGTATATAGGAAAAAATCTCTAAACATCTTCTTCTCAAGAACCACTGGACCAGGAAAGATGAAACTCATTTGGAATCATTCTCAGGTAGTGTAGATTAAAGTTTGTTCAAATCATGACCCCCGGGGCTAGGGTGGGGCCAAAATGGCCGACCAAATTTTTACGTAGAAGTATATAGGAAAAATCTTTAAACATCTTCTTCTCAAGAAGAACTGGACCAGGAAAGATGAAACTCATGTGGAATCATCCTCAGGTAGTGTAGATTCAAGTTTGTTCAAATCATGACCCCGGGGCTAGGGTGGGGCCGGAATGGCCAATCAAATTTTCATATAGGAAAAATCTTTAAAAATCTTCTTCTCAAGAACCACTGGACCAGGAAAGATGAAACTCATGTAGAATCATCCTCAGGTAGTTTAGATTCAAGTTTGTTCAAATCATGACCCCCGGGGCTAGGGTGGGGCCAAAATGGCCGACCAAATTTTTACGTAGAAGTATATAGGAAAAATCTTTAAACATCTTCTTCTCAAGAAGAACTGGACCAGGAAAGATGAAACTCATGTGGAATCATCCTCAGGTAGTGTAGATTCAAGTTTGTTCAAATCATGACCCCCGGGGCTAGGGTGGGGCCAAAATGGCCGACAAATGTTTTACAAATAAAAATATAGGAAAAAATCTTTAAAAATATTCTTATCAAGAACCATTGAGACAGGAAAGATGAAACTCATGTGAAATAATCTTCAGGTAGTTTAAATTAAGATTTGTTCATATCATGACCCCTGGGGTTAGGTTGGGGCCAAAATGGCCAACCAAAGGTTTACGTAGGAATATATATTGGGAAAACTTTTAAAATATACTTTTCAAATACTTCAAAGCCATGATTAGTGATATTTATATGGAATCATCCTCAGGTAGTGTAGATTCTAGCTTAATTGTTTAAATCATGACCCCCTGGGGGTTAAAATTCAAGCCCTCCCCCCCCCCACACACCACCACCACCACCACCTCAGTAAACTTTCAGTTCTGATCAGATTTGTGCTTTTTCCAAGCTGACGTGCTCAGGTGAGCGCTGTGGCCCCTGAGCCTCTTGTTAAAGGTTTATCATAAATTAAAATGGAGGCACCAAACTTCGATGAACATTTGATTGTGTGCGTCACCTCAACAATGAATTCCACAAAAAATTGATTTAAAATGAACAACAAATAATTCGCCTGTGAAAGAGAGGACTTTCGCAATATGCATATCCATTATTTTATGTTTATTAACAAAAAATATATCTAGAAGCAAACTGATAAAATTCAAAAGAACCTTGAAATTGTGTTGTTAATTTGTGTGAAATTAGCCTGTTTTGAAAAGAGAGTAATTAATTATTTCTATTGGGATTTTTTTTTACAGTGTAACGATAATTTGTTGATTTCACTGTTCAGGTGATAATTGGGGTTGGACACTTACCGGTAAATTGTTTGAGAAAACAAATTTAACACATTTACACATAATTATCATCCTTCAAGGGTAAACCGTTGATTGGTATATGCGCACATTGACAGATCTATGTTTTATTTGTTTATCTTTGTGCAGAATGTTAAAATTTTTTACTCAAAAAGTCTCAGATTCTGCAAATCATCAAACCTTGGTCCGCGTGAAAACGACTTTATTTAGGGAAATACGGCAAAGTCATGTTAATAAATTCATTTTTACATCACTGCAATCTCGGAATACGGTCTTCCTTCAACCATGTCATCCAGTAAACTGTTCCTTCTATATTTTATATCCACTTAAATACAAAAGAACGGTTTCCTTTACTATATTTTCCCGAATGTTTACAGCATTTATGGGTCTCTGATGGTGTTTTTCAGATGTCTACACAGAATTTTATCATTACTTTCTGCTCCACCTTTCCTCTAAATGTCCCTTTTTCGAACAATGCCGTACCTGTCTCAATAGATTCTAACCTCGATTTTTCAGCCATTTCTATACTCTGAAGGTTCAAATTTTGCAAGTTTGACGTTAATACTTTTCTCAAAGTCATAAAGTAAAAGCAATTGAAATTTCTGTGGAGTTTTACAAAGAGTAATTAATTATTTTTATTGGAATATTTATGTAACAATAATTTGTTGATTTCACTGTACAGGTGATAATAGGGGTTGGACACTTAAATTGTTTCAGAAAACAATTCTTAAAATTAACACATTTACGCATAAATATTTACATTTGCAAATGTTTTCCTTTATATAACACTACTGAAAGCAAGCGTTTTTATAACTGTATAAATACAGGTACGGGGTCAAGAGGTCATAAATGTGCGTATGGATAAACGTTCGACGTAATTTCTCAGTGACGTCATAAAAGGTCGACTGCGCGTTCAGTGGATTACATACATGCCTTTGGGTTTGAAAAATAATGCATTTCACACATTAAAAGTCACAATCAGGCAAATTTAAAGTATGAATAAGTCACAAATGTAAATATAAGTAATAAGGTATCATTTTTGGAGTTTTATTGGGATGTAAAACGGGTTGGCACATGATCAAATCTTCCATAAAGCTTTATGGGATTTGATCACGTGACCAACCCGTTTTACACCCCAATAAAACTCAAAAAATGATACCTTATTTCTTAATTACAGTACCCGCATCATTATTCTTTACAGGATACACGATGCGATAGGATACACGCACGATACGATAGGGTACACGCACGATAGGACAGGATACACGCACGATAGGATAAACGCAAAACACGATAAACGCAAAACACGATAGACCTGAGGCCTGTTCAGCAGAGCGGACGTTCGCAAGCGCTTGCCAAAATTACTATCTGG